CTCAGAATTGTGAGATATTAACTCGCAATTGCGAGTTATAAAGTCAGAATTGCAAGATATAAAGTAAGAATTCTGACTTTTTTTCCACAGAATTGTGAGATATAAACTCACAATTGCGAGTTATAAAGTCAGAATTGCGAGATATAAAGTCACAATTGCGAGATAAAAACTCGCAATTCTGACTCTTTTTTCAGAATTGTGATATATAAACTCGCAATTGCGAGTTAAAGTCAAATTTTGAGGGGGGAAAAAGACTGATATGTTCTCAGAATTGCGAGTTTATATCTCACAATTCTGAGAAAAAAAGTCAGAACTGCGAGTTTGTATCGCAATTCTGAGAAAAAAAGTCAGAATTGTGAGATAAAAAGTTACAATTACCTATTTTATTTTTTATTCAGTGGCAGAAACGGGCTTCCATACAATACTTCTACTTTCCTTAACATTAATATTCACACATTTATTTTCTGCAGGTTTTTGCATTTCAGTTCACTTCTAACTTGAGATCAGAGTGGGTGTTCGTGAGATTGCCCACCTGCAGTGATGGCGCCGCAGCCACCATGTGAACTGGCCCTGGCAGCCCAGACAATGTGTGGCCTCTTTATCGACCAGCCACCACTGCTCCTCCGCTCTCAGCTTCTGCTCGAACTCCAGAGCATCCGATTTCTTCCACAGAGCATCCTTATCCCTGAAACACAGAGAGAAAGGAGGAGATGAGAAACAGAGACTCAGAATCTCTTAGGTTCTCTTTTGTCTCTTGGGGTCCTCAATGACTTAAAGCACCTTTCATGGTTCATTTCCTTTTCATGTCAAGGATAGAGTTTTATAACATCTGCAGCTGTTTGATTATGTGAATAATTTTATTCACACCGAACTGCATATTTCATCAAAAAATAAATGCTTATGTGAGTTCCTGAATATCTCAGACACTTTTGTTGCAGCAGCACCTTTATTTTTGTTCGGTCGTGTTCTCATCTCAGCTGTCTGGCTCTCTAGACATTCGCATTTTAGTTTTGTTTTGAGAATTAAAGTGAATTACCTTACAAACCATGAGAACTCAGTAAGCCATGCACTTAAAAAGAGCAAATAACAAACATCTGCTTGTGTGTGAGTGTGGCAGGAATGTACAAAGACTGAGACAATCCAGCAGATGAGAACGGGCCCTTGACCTGCTTTTATTTGTGCTTCTTGTATTTTGATATACAGACACTGAACACAGCCATTATCAGCTTTTCTTAACATCTCATTGAGAATACAAGTAGCTTCATCTGTGAAATTGTTTTTAGTCTATTTTTAGTTTCTCTCCTCTGAAGCGTGACCAGAGCTTTTTATTTCAAGTAGCACAAGATGACATGCAAGCCTAAAGTAGTAAAAGAAATTGAGGGGCTTGCTTCATTATTAAGAGAATTTTTTTTTTAAGTTTACATTTTAAAACAAGATCTATATACAGACCTGATAAGTTCGATGAGCCGTTCCTCCAGGTTTAATCTGGTTTGGCCCAGATCCTCCAGCTCAGCAGACATCCGGAGATGCTGATTCTGAGTCTCTGTCAACACTTGATCCAATTTCTGCTTCAGTTCTTCCCTCTCTTTCTGTACCTCACTAAGAGCCTCTTTGGTACTAAGGGAGAGAGAAAAAGAAAATAGAAGCTCATAATAATGCATACAAATATAACCTAACCGATTACTAAAACTGAATCTCTTCCAGGGTCTACGAAATCCTTATGAAGATCCATTTGGAAATCCATTAGAGATGGCTTTTACACATGCAGATCCATTATCTGTACTGCATTAACCCTTTTATTGTGTTTTTGAACACTCACCTTGATACACTTTCTTGCAGTTGCTGTGTCTCACACTCTCTCTCATGCATCCGAGTCTCACAGTCAGCGATGTCAGAGTCTTTCTCCTCAATCAGATGGGAGTATTCAATATTTACTGCCTAAAAACACAAACAAACAGCCAAATGCATGAACACAATCTGTACACAGAAACATCAAACATTTGCATACACTGACACTGTAGTTATTTTGTCTCATTTTGTTTTATTTTATCTTGATTTTCATCTTATCCAAGGAATATAATTTTAAAAATTACTGTATTATTGAAATTACAGCATTTAACAATGTGTTAACATTAACAAAAATATACCATAACTAATCTATTTTGGACATGTAACATAACACTTACAAAAATTTCTATGGTTCTATCATGGTTGTTTGTACCATGGTATTTTGGTAGTATCATGGTATTCTTGAAAGCACCATGTAGATACATGCATTTCGCTACCATTGTCCATTTCAGGGCACAATAGTATTACCATCTAAAATCACTGCAATAACATGGTACTGCCTAAGAACTTTTTGTGAGATAATACGTTTTGTGGTATTCTTTTAAATACCATGGTGCATAAAATGGTATAATTCAGCATCATGGTTTTACCATCAAATACACTGTACCACTGTGCTTCTATTATAACCTTTTTCAAAGAGAAATAATTGTAAATGTATATTTGACTCAATAGTTATGCAAAACAAAATAACAGAGCAAAAAAACAAAAACAAGCTTTATTGTTGCAAAAAGCTGCACAACTGGAGGAGCATTATTTTAGAAAATAATTACAGTGGCACTTATACTCTAATTGACAAATATCTTCAGGTAACAGTCTGCAGTGTTCCTAATTATAGACTTAATGAGAAGCAAATTATTCATCACTGTCTGGCAATTAACCCCAATCTCTTGTCTTCTGTTCCACTGGCACAGTGGGTCTCCATTGAACAAGTACAAAAGGAGCAGCGAGAGATCAGACATTCATCACCTACTAATACCAGTGTTATCAGCCAACAGAGATGAATAATAATCATTCACATGCTGGTATGCAAAAAGTATCTGATGATCATGTAGATAATTGAAATAGAAGTATTAAAAGTGATGCTGTTAGTCTATCCTAACCTGGCTCAACATTTGCATACCTCTAACTCGGATAATTTGGCCTCCAGCTCAGATGTCTTCTTCAGCTCCATGTCTAGCTGAGTTTTCAAACCGTTAATCTCTTCATTAAGGCTCTAGGTTAAAAAACAAATACTAATTATATCAAGAAATAATACATAACGTATTTAAAAAAAGATACTATACTAAAATATTTGTAATACTAAAATAGTCACTATTTTACAAGAAAAGTACTTGGATTTCTGTTAATCACAAAGTAAATTAGATAAAACTACACTATAGTCTACTGAAAATGCTGCATTCATATCAAGACAGAAATACTGTAATTATGAGTTCCTGCCTTTTCCTTCACTCCCTGCTGTTGAAGTTCTTGGATCCGAGCAGCTTCGGCAGCCCATTGTTCCCGGGCTTCTTCCCGATCTGCCGTTAGCTTGCAAATTGTCATTCCCAACTCTGCCATTTCTGTGTTGACCCGATGGAGACCCTCTCTGGTCTCAGCATTCTCCAGAACCAACGTTTCATTCTGGGACTTGAGCTCTGCCAGCTCCTCTTGGACTGAAGTGAGTTCAGCAGTTGTTTTCTTGCATGTGGATGTCTCCTGATTCAGTTGCAAATATATGGCATCTACCCGTTCGCTAGACTGCAGCAGCTCTTTCACATGCAGTCGATTCTGCTCCTCTGCCTGCTTCTTCAACTGCTCAGTCAAGGTTCGTAGTTCTGCACAGGAAGCCTCGGTGACCTCCAGCTTTGCTTGGGTCTTGTCCTTTTCCTCCACAGCACTGTAAAGTTTAGCCCTGAGTCTCGTAGACTAGAGTTTTCTTGGTGAAGAGCCGCCAAGCTGGCATTAAGTCTCTCTGTTTCCTTCACTCCCTGCTGTTGAAGTTCTTGGATCCGAGCAGCTTCGGCAGCCCATTGTTCCCGGGCCTCTTCCCGCTCTGCGGTGAGCTTGCAAATTGTCATTCCCAACTCTGCCATTTCTGTGTTGACCCGATGGAGACCATCTCTGGTCTCGGCATTCTCCAGAACCAACCTTTCATTCTGGGCCTTAAACTCTGCCAGCTCCTCTTGGGCTGAATTGAGTTTGGCAGTTGTTTTCTTGCATGTGGACATCTCCTGATTCAGTTGCAAAGTTATTGCATCTACCCGTTCGCTAGACTGCAGCAGCTCTTTCACATGCAGTCGATTCTGCTCCTCTGCCTGCTTCTTCAACTGCTCAGTCAAGGTTCGTAGTTCTGCACAGGAAGCCTCGGTGACCTCCAGCTTTGCTTGGGTCTTGTCCTTTTCCTCCACAGCACTGTAAAGTTTAGCCCTGAGATTGAGCACCTCCTCTTGAAGCCTAGAAACCTCTTTCACACTCAGTCCCAGCTGATCTTCCAGGAGAGTCACTTTTGAGGCCATCTCTTGGGTCTCTTTAGCATGGCATGCACTCTGCTCAAGTTGGACCTTCTCCACAGCTGTCCTCTGGGCCTCAAGAGTCTTAATCATCTCTGTTTGTTTAATAAAGGCTCTTTCTGCCTTTGTCTTCTCCATTTCCAAATCCCTCTCCTCATCATCAATTTGTGCTCGCAACTGCTTCTCCGAGGCCTTCAATCCAGCCAGCTCACTCTCCAGAGAAGATTTGTTTTCAAGCAACTCCTTCTTGGTCTCTTCATTCTTGTTCACCCTCTGGAGGAGCTTGCTGTTTTCCTCCATTAGCTTGCCACAGCTATCTTTGTATTCCTCAATCTTCTTGGCCTGCTCTTTGGTGCTGTTCTCCAGTGCAGATATGGTTTCTCTGAGATTCTGTTTGTCGCTTTTAAGCTTCTCTGATTCCTTCTCCAAATACTGGACTCTCTTGATACTGGAGAGAAGATTGGACTCCTTAGCCTTCAGCTGTGTCCGTAATGTTTGCAACTGCCCTTCCAGGCCACTCACCTTCTTCTCAAGCTCTTCTTTATCCTCTTGCATTTCCTTCTGCTCCACTTTGGCCTGCTTTTCCATAGTTTCCTGAGAGAGCTGGAGATCTTGCAGTTGCTTTTGCAGGTTGCTGGTGTCCTTCTCTCGCACTGCAAGTGCCCCTTGAAGTTTGTCCATGACATTACGGTGCTCTTCTGCCCTGGTTTGCAGTTGCTCACCCTTTTCCATCCAAGCTGCCATTTTCACCTCAGCCTCTTTGAGTGCTTTATCCTTTATTCTGATTTTCTCAGCCAGCTGTTCTGCCTGCCTCCTCCTCTCTTCTCCTTCTGCCAGAGCATCTATCCTTCCCTTCTCAGCCTCTTTCAATTCATTTAACAGCTCGTGAATCTTCTGGGCGGAGTTGAAGTCACTGGCTGCCCTCTGGCCTTTCTCATCCAATACTCCATCTAGCCTTGCCATCAGTTCCTCATTTTTCCGTTCTGCTGCTGCCAACATGTCCTGGAGGTCCTTATAGGAAGCCTCCCTGATAGTCTCGCGTCCCCTCAAGACCTCCAGCTCATGGAATAGTGCTCGTTCGCTCTCAGCTAGCACCTCCAGGTTCCGCTGGAGCTCATGATGGTTACCTTGGGCAGCTAGAGAGACGTCCAGCTGCCTTTGGAGTTCTACCACAACCCCGTGGAGTTCACTTGCCTCTCTGCCAAACTGTTGAACCTGGTCAAGGAGCTCTCTTTGCTTTAATTCAGACTGGTCCAGCTCCAGACGGAGTTCGTCTATAGCACTGATGGAAGAATCATTTAGTCCACTGGAGTTTTGGACAGACATGTCTGATAGAAGCCCAGGTCCAAAGTCTGGACTCCCAGGGAACTCATGGGCCTGCTACAATGTTTGAAAGAAATTTTGTGAGAGGGAATATACATAGAATGAAAGAAAGAGAGATTGCTTGAACACTGCCATCTACTGGATATAAAACAGTAGTGTAAGTGTTTCTAAGTTTAGAATGATTCATGACAACAGGGACCTTCAAAAGGTGTGCTTGTACCTGTGAGTATGTACTGGCCAGACTGTTGATGCTGGAACTACGACTCGGTGGTTTCCACATGTGACTGGGGGAGCTAGTCATTCCCAGTGTCCTACTATGAGACATTTTTTTAATTAACTTTAAATTAAGTTAATTGAACATTAATCAGCTTATTCAAACACATCCACACACATACTATTTCCAGTCATGACAAATGGATCATAAATACTAAATGGCAAATGGACCATAAATTAGTAGCATTATATGTGTGCCAGTGTTTTTGTAGTAATATACTGTTGATGTTTTATTATTTATATTAGAAATTGCAAAAATTATAGTGTGCTCTTACCTTGCAAAAGTGGGCCACTCTGAGTCAAGGTCATGACCCCTGGATGCCACATCAAATTGAACATCATTGAGCTCATAGAGGTAATTAATGATGTCCACACTGAGATGGGGTTTGATAAATGGACTCCGAGAATTATACCAGTCACTACAGAAGAAAAAAAAAAGCTTGGAAAACAGTCTAGTTCTTCAATAAGACATAAAAATGATGGCACTCCAAATCTTATTACATTCAGGGTTTCTGCAGGTTTCCATGAAGGTAAATTTAAGACTTTTTAAGACCAAGTAAAAAAAAATTTAAAGAATAAAATGAATGCAACACATCAATATGTTTTCTAGTGTAAATGTCTTATATTAGCAACGCTTCAAAGTTTGAAAATAAAGCTTCCAACACATCTTCATTACTTTTTAATTCATTTTACAAAGAAACTTAAACTTGAATACAACTATAATATGGAAATAATGTTTAGACTACCTTCTGATCGCACTGCAAAAAAAAAAGAAGGTTTTCTTCATCATAATTTGTTTCTTGTTTCCCAGTGCAAAAATATAAATAAAGGTGCATTTAAATAAAGATGCATTTACTTGAGAAGCAAAATCAAAGCTCACAAAAGCTCACTTAATTTTGTTCAATTTCTTTCTCAAAAAACAAGACTTCATATCTTCAATTTGCATCTCAAGTAAATGAATATTGACTTAAGGATGTTTAGATATTTGTACTGGGAAAAAAATACTGAGGTATCTTTAAAGGAGTTTCTTATGTTCATCAAGGCTGCATTTATTTGATCAAAAAATATCAAGTTTTATTTCCATTTTAAATAATTTATAAAGTAACAGATTTAATTTACTGCCATGTTTAAAATACAATCACACATTGTAGCATATATGCAATGCACATCTACACATTATGTATTTTTTTTTTATTGCATGTTTTATTATTTTCATTAGTTTGTAATGTTTTTGTTGTTAAGGCTGTACTTTAAGAAGCTACTTTTAAAGGTGCAGTAATAGTTGATTATGACGACATTTATTTTTCAAATGTCCATATAAAGTATTTTATAAAACTTTTGTAAATCTATAATATATATTCATATGTTTCATACACCATACAAGTTAATTATTATCATGATAACTATTATTAATCAAATGTCCATATTGTATACAGTACTTGTCAAAAGTTTGGAAACATTAGGATTTTTAATTGTTTTTAATGAAGTCTCTTATGCTCAGCAAGGCTGCAATTATTGTATCAACATTTTCTGTAAAGCAAGAAATATTGTGAAATATTATTACAATTTTTTTTCTATGTGAATAGATTTTAAAATGTAATTTATTCCTGTGATATAATGCATTTTCAGCATCATTACTCCAGTCTTCCACTCTACTTTGCTATTTTTTTCAGTATTCTTTGATGAATAGAAAGTTCAAAAGAACAGAGTCTATTTGAAATTGAATCTTTTGTAACATTATTAATGTTTTTACTGTCATTTTTTATTAATCGGATGCATGTTTGCTAAATAAAAGCATTCATTTCTATTTAAAAAACCACACGCACTCAAACACACAATAAAAATTTGAATGGTAGCATATCAAGGTTTTCGCATATTTAAGCAGCACTACTGTTTTCATCATTGATAATAATAAGAAATGTTTCTTGAGCAGCATATTAGAATGATTCCTGAAGGATCATGTGACACTGAAGACTGGAGTAATGATGCTGAAAATTCAGCTTTGCATCACAGAAATAAATTATATTTTAAAATATATTGAAATAGAAAACATTTGTTTTAAATTGTAATAATATTTCACAATATTACTGTTTTTATTGTATTTTTGATTTTCTGTAAAGCAAGAAATATTGTGAAATATTATTACAATTTGTTTTCTATGTGAATAGATTTTAAAATGTAATTTATTCCTGTGATATAATGCTGAATTTTCAGCATCATTACTCCAGTCTTCCACTCTACTTTGCTATTTTTTTCAGTATTCTTTGATGAATAGAAAGTTCAAAAGAACAGAGTCTATTTGAAATTGAATCTTTTGTAACATTATTAATGTTTTTACTGTAATTTTTTATTAATCGGATGCATGTTTGCTAAATAAAAGCATTCATTTCTATTTAAAAAACCACACGCACTCAAACACACAATAAAAATTTGAATGGTAGCATATCAAGGTTTCCGCATATTTAAGCAGCACTACTGTTTTCATCATTGATAATAATAAGAAATGTTTCTTGAGCAGCAAATCAGCATATTAGAATGATTCCTGAAGGATCATGTGACACTGAAGACTGGAGTAATGATGCTGAAAATTCAGCTTTGCATCACAGAAATAAATTATATTTTAAATTATATTGAAATAGAAAACATTTGTTTTAAATTTTAATAATATTTCACAATATTACTGTTTTTATTGTATTTTTGAAAACATGGTGAGCATAAGAGACTTCATCAAAAACATGTTAAAATCGTAATGTTTCCAAACTTTTAACAATTACTGCATTAATATAAAATCCAATCATATGAATATTTTTTTCATACACATACATGTAGAAACATTGCACTGACACACATTTCATTGTCTTCATTAAAAAAAAAAAAAATTAATAATATCAAAAGGACATTTCAATGTAATATTTGGAATTCAAAAATCAAAGACTTAGACTAAGGGTCTGAATACTAAATTCTATGTTTATTAAGAAAGATGGGTAGCATGACAGGTGAGGTGACAGTGAAGTGTTACCTGGTGACCCTGTGGTTCATGAGGCACTGCTGGAGTGTGTCAGCCAGCCGCTGATGCACGAGTGAGTAACGGATAAATGCTCTGCCTTTACCCAGAGACGTCTTGAGCTAAGAGAGAAAAAGAACAAAGCTTTCACTGCCACTCAAGTATCTGCAGTGTTCCAAAACATATCGGACACTATTCAAATTTGAATGACAATAGATAAAATAGTTGTTGTTTTTTTGGAGGGGGGACATTTTTCAAGGTGTTGCAAGTGACTGCTAGGATGTTTTGGGTGGTTGCTTAATATTTAAGGCGAATAACTTTTAATATTGTTAAAAGCTTTTTAATTGACACAATTTTTTTCTTTTAAATTGATGGATGTTTGACTTTTTCTGTGTGGCATAATGAAATGCCCATATTTACACATGCATACAGACACAGACTACAACTAGTAACCAGTCAAAGATGAATAATTTACCTACTGTTACTCAAATTTAATTCCCAAAATTCAGCGTATCTGCCACCGAAACTGACCTCACCACAAGACAAGGAAGCTGGTCACCACTGTAGCAGAGTTCAGTGTCAAGACAATACAAAAACAAATCTGACCGTGGACAATATCAAACAGCGTTCATGGGGAAGTGGCACTTTTAAAAAGAACATGGCATTTAGATCAGCGTATAATGTGGACAGACAAGGAACAACCTAATCAATAGTATCACAATAATCTCTTGCATTTCAGTGAGAAAACGGAACTGTACAAATCCGATAGGAAGGTTTGTTTAAACAAAAAGTGTGTGTCTACGGACATGCTTTGGTAAGAGATGTCCAGTAATACAACACAATAAAAAAAGGGCAGTGAACATGGACATTTACCGCTTTTTCATGCATATGCAATTATTATAAATGAATAATAAAATATTAGTCACATTAGTAGTATTGTTTAATGACAGAATTTTCATTTTTGGGTGAACTAATCCTTTAATGTGATAATAAGTGAATGTGAATGACACAGGTTTATATATTTTTATTTCTTACATGTTTATGCATTTGCATTAGTTTGCAATGTTTTTATTGTTAACTGTTGTTTTTACTATGTAAAGTGCTCTGAGAAGCTACTTTTGAAGGTGCTTTAAATAAAGTTTATTATTAGCAATATTATTAAATATTATTAATTAGTATGTATTATTTATGAATATTAATAAATATAATATGATCATTACATTAATCTATCAAATGTCCATATTATATAGTAATATAAAATTTATATTACCTACTCGTATTTCTCATACACCTACATTATTGTTATTATTATTATAAATGATTTTGTTATAATAAAAATAAAAAAATATTTAGCATGTCACACAGGAACATACTCCTCAGAAGCATGTTGGAAGTGAATGAGATAGATATTAACCTCTGGAATTGATTTAACAAAGCGGATTCCATCGTTTGCTCCTTTGATTTTGACCAGGCAGTCGCTGAAATAATCCCAGTAGTCTTTTCTGGATCCCAGAAATGTTGTTTTCTCCTTCTGGCCGAACTGAGTATAACAATAACATAACACTTCAGATAAATGACTGAGAAGCAGGCTCAAAGAAGTTTAAATGAAAAAGTTTCAAGTCCTTTTGGGACAGCATGAGATCTCATCTTGCACGATTAGGGCTTTTGAGTGCATCCATATGGCCTGCTTCACACCTGGTATTAGCATCCGTCACGGATGATCAGATCTCAAGTGAGTCGGCAGAGACAACTGTCATTTACACCTGATATTAACATGCATGTCCTGTGATCACTTGTAGTTGGGTTTAATCAAAGCGAGGGTTTCCCATTATGTGACTAATTACATCAGTCTGTCACTGCATGTTGATAATACACAAAAATAAAGCACCAGAAATACAAATAAAGCACACAAAACTACGGTGGCCGAGAGAGCTCAACGCGCTGCAAATGAAAAAAGCACATGCAAATAGAAAAAACACCAGCGAATTAAGAAAATATCTTCATCAGTTTGACAACACATGCGCTGCAAAGACTCACAACACAACCAGATACAGAAACGCGCCGCAAATACACACAGACATGGCTACTATAGTTAAACCATGGTAATCACAAATTACACTAACCATAGTTTAACCATGATATTTGTGTCGTAGTTACACAAATAGTAATCACCCCAAAAAAAATGGTAATGGTAAAATTGCAAACACCAAAAACATCATTAATACACTTTTACTTTAATAAAACCATAGTTCATTTTCGTAAGGGTTGTTGGGGTCCCCTTGAAACATTTCCGTTGTGGTCTGTGCTACATGCAACGCTTTTCTGTATTTGGTTGTGTTGTGTGTATTCGCAGTCCATTTCTGTATTTAATTGTGTTGTGAGGATTTGCAGCGCGTTTCTGTATTTGGTCGCATTGTGAGAATTTGCAGAACATGTGTTGTCAAACTGATGACTCTCTCGGTCACCGTACAAAACAAATTAATTTAAAGGGAAAACATTTCATAGCCCTTTAGCCAATTATTGTTCTTGCTTTGAGCATAAACTCACTTAATTTTGTTTCATTTTTAAGTAGGGCTGGGTATCGAGTTTGATACTTTTTAGGCACCGACCGAAATGCCTCGATACCATCGAGTATCGAAAAACGTCTCGTCGTTCGGTACCAAATTTCGATACCTAAGGGGTTAATCTCATCAGCGTCAGTGAGCCAGCTAATGCTCATCAGATCGTGTAAATCAGTGGAAAATGAATAGAAATTATGATTCTGTCTGAGCTATGCGTTTTAAAACGAACACTAAGTAGTGTAAATGTAGCCTAACAGATGTGTAAACTGAAGACTATTTGAGCTTTATTAAAACTATTTGAACTGATTTATTGTGTTGGTTACATTTTGTTCCTTTGTGCAGTGGCTCAGGAGATGAGTCTTTGAGTTTGTATAAACATCAACAAGCTGAAAAATAAAAAATCTTTTTTTTTTTAGATAATGTAATCTTGTTAAAATTTATTTCATAAAATTGGTATCGAAAAAAGTATCGTTCAGGAACCGGTATCGAAGTCAAGGTATCGGTATCGATATCGAAAATGTTTGAACGATACCCAGCCCTATTTTTAAGACATCATTTTAAATTTGCATCTTGATTACTTTTTTCTTGTAAACCCACACATAACAGTAAAGTTTAAAATCCTTGTTTTAGCACAATGGTTGATTGGCAGGTGAGTATGCGATACTGTTTTGTTGGTCAGGCTGCATGAGAATTTACACAACAAATACGATGTAATCATATGCATTTCTAGCTACTTTGATCAATCAAATAAGAAGTTTGGGAGCCCGTTTACATCTTTTTTCCGTGTCTATGTCTCTGACCTGTAGCAGGTACTCCAGTTTGTAGGCGAACTTGTGCAGGTTGGAGCTGTCATCTGTAATGGGCTCGCCGTTCTCCTTATACTCTTTTGTCAGTTCTGAAACAGCATCTGTAAGAAAAGACCATCAGAATAAAGCAAGTATGACAATCAAAATGACATAAAGATATGTAAATGCACATTTTAAAACTTATACTCTTTTGTCAGTTCTGAAACAGCATCTGTAAGAAAAGACCATCAGAATAAAGCAAGTATGACAATCAAAATGACAAAGATATGTAAATGCACATTTTAAAACAATTACAGAGCAACACACTGTAATTAATAATTTTAGTCATTTTTTTCAAGGGTTTAAGAAGTGTTTTTTCTCCTTCTTTAGCCCATTTTTGGTTGTATGTCTTCCACGCGCCTTTCATCCACCTCAGGAACTGAAACGGCACACATGAGGGATAAACTCTGACACGCAGGTCTCTCTCGTTTTGCATTTCTCTTTCCCCCATGTTGAAAGCCAGCACCCTGAGGACTGCAACTGCACGTGCTCCACCGTGGACCACGTGTCTCTTTTCACTCTCTAAACAATAGCTCTGCCTCTCTCATGAAGGCCAACGCACATCCGTACCATGCAGATCTCTGATAATCCGTTGGATGTGACCCTCTCCGACTGCAGCACCAGCGGCCATGGTCTGACTAGCTTCCTGCCAACGAGGTCAAGAGGTCATCCGTAGTCTGCTGAGTGAAAGAATCACAGTGACAAAAGATAACTCACATTTTATATGCACATTATATTTATTTATAAAGAAGCATGACATATCAGTCATATTAGTGATTTTAAGTGGTATCCCTTGTTGTCCTCTAAAATCAAAATCCACCAACATATTTATTTAGAACTGTTTTGGACTGTTTTCGCTTGTAAACGGTGCTTGATCTGTGCATATTTCTATCCTGATTCAGACGAGACGACTTTTCCACTGGAGGAAGGAATGTTATGGATAGAGGGGCTTGTATTTTAGCCAGAAGCGATGGTTGGAAGTTAAAAAACGTCTTAACAATGGATTCGTTTATTACAAACGCGCAGCTTTTTTCTTCACAGGATTTTAATTGATGTTTTCATCAGCTGTTTGGACTCTCAATCTGTCAGCACTCATTCACTGAAGAGGACCCATTGGTGAGCAAGTGATGCAATGCCGAATTTCTTCAAATCTGGTTCCATGAAGAAACAAACTCATATGCATCTTGGATGACCAGAGCATAATTTTTCAGCAAATGTTAATTTTTGGATGAAGTAGTAAAGCATCACTACTAGTGCTTATACTTATTTGCGTTTCTATGTAGGAATGCTCCATTTTCCAAGTAGTACAAATCAATAATATTTCTGATTATTTTGGTATCGCTATAATCTGGATCATTGCTTGAATTCACAAGGCCACAAACAAGGATCTCGGTATTGCCCTCTGTTGACGACCAAAGCTTTAGCACATAATAATAGTCAAGGCCAAAATGTCTATTTTCTTATTAAAATGAAGCATTGTGCAACATTGTGTAGTAAAGTGATAGCAATGCCAGCAGGACAAAAACTACTATGAACGCTGAAATACAGAAAGACATCCACCAGCTGTCCTGAATGTTTGTGGTAAACTAGGCATCTGTTAAGCAAAAATACAATATCTGGTGATATAAAAGCAAAAGATTTTCACTATAAAGGAACTACTAAAATTGCACCAATTGCAAGCTAAAGATAATTTAGAACATGGCAAGACAAACCTACTTCTCTAATCTATTTTAACAGCTGGTTTAAACAGTGGTTTGGTGAAGATTCTGTGAAACAAAAATACTAAGAACTAATAACAGCAATTTTGCTGACAGTTTTGTTTTTATACTTAGCCTAAGTGTATTTATAGAGAGATATTTGTTTTTATACTTAGCCTAAGTGTATTTATAGATAGATAGATAGATAGATAGATTTTTCCATTTAAGACAGTTTAACTTATCTAGTTCTTCTAAAATAGTCAAATGACATTCACTGCGTCTACTGTTTGTTTATGATAATTTATGACTACGCAGAATTTTAAATATCAAGTTACAAAATTATAACACATGACATCTGAACCCTCAGTGGAACAGATAAGACCTTTGAGAGAAACAATAATATTTACTGTACTGTTCGATTACACAACATCAATAGAAACAGCTGTTTTTGAAATGTAAACAAACATCAGTGTCCGCGTTCTTTCACACGTTCCATTGCCTTTCACTGGTTTGAATTCAAATGAAAAGGAACAAGTTCTCTGGAACAGCGTCTTTTGTTGCCATAGAAACTAGGTTTAAAAAAACGAACAGAAGTTCAACTATATAAAACAACTATACAGTCAAGAATTTACAGGGTAAACAGCCAGTCACGCGCAGGATGACATGTCAGAATGTTTATTCCGGATAAACGCGGTTTTAAACTGAAGTTAGCATGTATGTATTACAGCTGGACGTTTGTTAAATGTGTGATAAATGTCTTGAAAGTGAAAAAAAAGAAGCTGACATACTTTGGCTCTTGTAAGGATCCGAGAAGGTCCACTTTTAGTTTACATCGTGAAACAACCTTGCTAGGCTGCTATTTTTGATTGACAGAAATTTCCGCCATAGACGGCGGACTTCACAGCCGAACTCTTTTTTTATTGGACCGCGAAAAATAGCCCCGCCTTAAGTTTGGTTACGAGAACAAGAGCAGTTCTTTTCAAGTAGTGCTCACTGTAGAGCCAAATGACATCCAGCTCTTGTGTAATGATAGGATAACGGGTAGACTTTAGGGTGTGTAAGTCCCACTCGCTGGATCTCATGAAATTATATATATTATATTTATATTTATTATATTATATTATATTTATATTTAAAAAAGTATATATACAGTAATCTTGCAAAATGTTATTACAATATAAAATAATGGTTTCTATTTTAATTTCCTTTCCTCTGAATTTCCATCAGCCATTACTCCAGTATAAAGTGTCACATGATCCTTAAGAAATCATTCTAATATGCTGATTTATTATTAGAATTATCAATGATGGCAACAGTTGTGCTGCCAAATATTTTTTGGGAGAGACAGACAGACAGACAGATAGATAGATAGATAGATAGATAATTTTATTTATTTTAGTTATGTAATATAATAACATTACTTAGAGTGTGCAGGTCCCCCTCACTGGATGTCATGAAATTATATGTACACACACGCATATATATATATATATCATTTTATTTATTTTAGTTATGTAATGTAATAACATTAAATATTATAATATATTACAAAAAAAAAATTCTTCCACTATTCTTCTATGATATCTATTCTATTCCATCAATTATTACTTAATTTTGATATTTCTGTCTAACAAACAAACGGTCTTTTGTGTACATGATTGTCATGCTTGTACATGCATGTAGGTGTGTTTAAAAAAAAAAAGAGGAAGAAAAACCTCCTCTTCAGTATAAATAGTGAAAAACACGAACGCCTCTACCACATCTCTGATCACCTGTCTATTGGACAAGAAGGTCAGCCCAAAAAGCTGTGGGGACAATATTTTATATATTTCATATCAGTCTGGTTTGATTCTGTTTAGTTAGAGAAGAGATAGTTTATTGTCTTGCAAACTGACAGTGGAAAGAGCAACAGGTAAGAACTAAATGTTTAGTAAACTAATTTAGTATATTCACACTGGGATAAATTTAGATAAATTGATTAATATAACTTTTTTCTCTTGTTTTGTCTTAATGAAAAGGCAGATTGTGTTGATGTTTGAGTTGATTCTCCACAGAAACGTGGGCAAACCGGATCTGTTCTGACTGAAATAGTTTGCTGTTGCAGAACAACATGACTGATGAGAATGCAACGTATTACTATAACTCAGTCTATGCAGATGAGTTGTGTCACAAAGAGGAGGTGGTGAAAATCGGATCCTTTGTTATTCCAATCTTTTTCACAGCAGTGGTTGTGTTGAGCTGCATCGGTAACATCCTCGTTCTGGTCATGCTTGCACTCTACGAGAGCCTCAAATCCCTGACCAACGTCTTCATCCTCAATTTAGCTGTGTCAGATCTGCTGTTCACTTTTGGCCTTCCGTTTTGGGCCTCGTACTACATCTGGGGTTGGACATTTGGAGAGGTTGGCTGTAAAGCTGTGAAGTTCTTCTTCTATGTGGGCTTTTACAGCAGCGTGTTGTTCTTGACTCTAATGACCGTTCAGCGTTACATGGCAGTGGTTCATCCTCTGTCTGACTGGGAGAGATGCAGAGGCCTTTCCGTCTCTCCTTTTATCGTTTGGATTCTGAGTGGAACGGTTGCACTGCTCGGTTCACTTCATAGCAAAGTCATGACAGAATCTGAGAGCCTATACTGTGAATATGACAGTATTGAATGGAGATCTGGCATTGCTTATTTTCAAAATGCTTTTTTCTTCATTGCATTCCTAATCATGGGTTATTGCTATGGCAGAATGCTGCGGACGATCACAAAATCACGGACTAATAAGAGACACAAGACTGTTAGACTAATATTCTGTATTGCACTGGTGTTTTTTATTGGTTGGGCTCCATATAACATTGTCATGTTCCTAAAATCTTTGACTGTCCATCCATTCACTGACTGTGAAGTAAGCATTAGTCTAGAATATGCATATTATGCTTGCCGAATGATAGCTTTCTCGCACTGCTGCTTGAACCCTGTGTTTTACGTTTTTGTTGGAGTAAAGTTCAGGAATCATCTAAAAATGATTCTGCAGAAGATCTTTCAAAAAAAAAAAAAACTCAATTCCAGTCAAACCAGATTGGCAAAAAATCAATCGCAGGGTTCAATGTATTAAGAGAAAACTCAAGTACTTTTACCGATTGCAGCGAACCAACTTTGAGTTTTAAAATACAATGTGAATGATGTACACAGAGATACTGTTGCAGCTATTTTTTATTATTATTATTGATATGCTGGAGCTGATTATTTGAAAACTTTGTTGAGCCATTGCACAACTTCTGCCAATATAACTGCAATCGTTACATCTGCATAATTGAAATTTAAATAAACAAAGTGCCACTTTACAGGATAATTCCTCTCTCTATCAAGCAGCAAAAGCATTCAGTTCTGAGAAAATCATGTTCCTAATTATAACCAGTGTTCTTCCTTTTTGTGGTTAAAAGTTCTAAATTTTTGTAGGTAAAAATATAACTGAAAGTACGTAATAAGCCCACCAACAAATGTGTCATTAGTAATGCAGAAAATATTCTAATATGAAATTAAAATATATCTATATACCTTCTTTCGTCTGTTACTGTATGAATTTAATGTACATTATGACTTTCATGTTTATGTCACTGCTTGTACAGTTTATTAAATGGATAATGCAGAGTAAAAGTAAAATCCTGCATGATCATAAAATATGACTCCAGTTTATGAATTATGGTTCCATGAAGAACCTTTAACATTCATGGAAACTTTCTATTGCACAAAAGGTTCTTTATAGTGAGAAAAAAGGTTCTTTAGATTATTGAAATATTCTTCACACTAGGAATGAATTCTTGTAAGAACTGTTCACTTAAAAGTTCTTTGGAGAACCAAAAATGGCTCTTCAATGGCATTGCTGAAAAAAATAAAACATTTATTTTTAAGAGTGTGGTCAGTTTTTGTGGTCAAAAATTACTGCCCATTTTTACTATAAACATTTGTTCTACACTGAAATGGTTCTAAATTCTTCTGTTTGTAACAATAGCAGAACCCCTTTCGGTGTTAAATAGAATCCATTCCGCTCTTCCATTTAAAGTCCCCATGAAATCAAAATTTAAGTTTTTTGGGTGTTAGTATCAATATGTTAGTCTTAAGGTTATCTATAAGGCAGTGCGCTCCAAAACAGTGACAAAATTCACATTTAGAAGATATAAGCATTCAAAGCTTGCAGTTCGTCACATCCGCCAAAACGGTTCAACAATTTTTTTTGACGTCACATCGTACTTCAGCTTCTCATGGCACGTAGTGCACTATATAGTGGACAGGGAACGATTCAAACAGTGTAAATATGCTTTCCATTGAGGAAAAAAAGAAGTC